CACATAAAGATGACAGAGGAATGATGCCTTTGAGCTGTTGAAGAAGAGCCCTGATGGCCTCTCAAAAGGACAAATATGTCTTAGGAAAGGAACAGCCAGGTTCCTCCTTGGAGATAAAAATAATGAAACTTTATCTCACCTACTTTGAGCATGTTGTTAGAAGGGGCTATTATTTGGAAAAGTGCATCATGCTTGGAAAAGTGAACGGTCAGAAAAAGTGGAAGACTCTTGAAATAGAGTCTGTATGGTGAGCTTGAGATGATGAGGATGTCCCAGGATAGGGCAGGATTTAAATCCATTGTTCACAGGTTGCTATGAGTCATAGTCTACTAAATAGCACTTAAACAACAGACACAGTATAATTTTGCTATAACAAAAAAAAATATGCACATATACATATGGGTGCATGCATGTGCATATATACTATATGTGTATTTATTATAGGTGAGTATATAACCCTCATCAAAAGAGAACCCAGCTTCTAAAGTGGTCTGTGTTTGATTTGTGCTATTGGTAGTTTCCCTCCATAAGTGAGTGTCAGCTGGTTGGCCTTTTGCCCCTTTTGGCCAGCAATGACTGAAGGACAGAAGGTCTACTGGTTTTATCAACAGCATTTGTTGGGTGTGTCTTTTAAATTCCATAGTGATGGGTTCAGTGTGTGGCTGGCCTGGAGGCTCCTGTGCAGTGGTTCCACTCTAGAAATTGGTTTCACGTGTCTTGATGAGGGTCACATAAGGAAAGTTTTGGTTTGTGCTGGTCTGTCTTTGGTTTGTGTTATTGGGTTTTTACCCTTCACAAGTGGGTGGTCAGCTGGCTGGACTTTTGCCCATTTTATCCAACAAAGACCCAAGGGCAAATGGTCTACTGGGTTTATCATAGTCAACAGCATTTGTTGGGTGTGTCTTTAAAATTCCATAGGACCCTCAGGCCAAATTTATTAATATTAGGATGAATACTCTTTAAATAGTACAGCATCCATTTGTCTATTTGCTGTGCTGAAGGAGTTGCTGTAATGCTGAACTCTGTGTCATAGTGTCAAATAACATAATGGTTGCCCATTATGGACAATGTTTGGAGGAATTTCCAGATTGATTCAGGTTTGGAAGCAGGAGTGGCACCCACTTCCTAAACCAGATGCCTCTGGAAACTCTATAAACACAAAAAAATTTAAAAGACCAATCAAATGGACAGAGGTAAAGAAAGAGACTTTCATTCAGGCTGTTCCTTATAATTGTCTAAGAATGATTAGATACTCCGTTGTCCATTATAAAATAGAGCTTAAGAAAGTGAAAAGAAAATACTCTAAGTGAAAAAAATTAATCAACAAAAGCTATTTTCAACAACAACCAAAAGATCCTCATTCTCAAGTCATAAAAAACTCTTAGCTGACCCACCAGTGGGCTTTTGGACTCTGTAAATCACAGGAGAGAATACTACCTCCCAAGGAGCTGCTGGTGGATCCGAACCACCAGAGAGACCATCTTTGGGTAAGCAGCATAACTTCTTATAGGCTATGACACTAGATCACACCACCATGTAGTTACTGTTCCGGTGGATGGCACTTTACAACAACAACAAAATTTTTAACAAGCATCTTTAATTTCCCAATCAACTTAGTAAAGTCAGGAATCGAAACAACCTACGCTGAATTCTCAAATCTCTATTAATGAGACAGCAAAAGTTAAAGTAAGGAAAACGCCCTGTCTTGAGGGGCAAACAAAATAAACTTTGAAGTCAAAATCTGGACATTGACAAACAAAATAAACTTTGTTTGAAGTCAAAGTCTGGACATTATACAGATCCTAAAGGCAAAAAGATCAAGCACCCTCTAGCATAATGCAGATGACTAACAGCGATGATGTCAAGTTACATCTTTTATTTTCTTACTTAGACCATTGCGACCTATGTTTCATCTCTTTAATAGAAGCATAATTTAAAAGCATGCCTTTCTACAAAACACAAAAAACAAGGCTTTTCCAAAACATTTTCCATTTCCATTTCCTTTTCTTAACTTGCATAATTTATCTTTTGAAATGAAACTACTTATGCTTTTGGTACCATGCTCTGGGAAAATCATTCACAATATACACAAGAAAGATAATTCATAAATAGCCAAGAGCATACATACACACACACACACAATTATAATATGTTGTTTTTAAGTGTCGTCAAGTCGTAGGCGACACTATGAACCAAAGACCTGAGCACTGTTCATAGTGTTTCTAGAGGCAAGCCATTTCCTATAATACAGTTTACAAAGATTTTCTAAGGTATGCCCAGTATGCAATTCAGTTCCCTAAAGTTCTTTGCTGCCGCTGTTGTTGTGTATCACACAGTTGAAACCAACCCACAGTTGACCCTCTGGTTGGTTTTCAGAGGCAGTTAATGGCCTGGGAGGAGGTTGCCCATCCTTCTTCCACAGAGTAGCTGGTGGCCTCGAACCATATGCCTTTGAAATCGCAATGACAAAGATGAAGCAGGAAGTACTTAAAAATAGAGCTTTTCATTGAAATTATTGTTTTCAGTTAAAATCTTATGATTGATGATATGAAGTAAAAAAAAATAGAAAGCTATTTTTCCTTTTATTTTCCATTTTTAAAAGTTCTTTCCAGAAGATCTTTTTGCTGTAGAAATGTTTGTTTCTTTTTCTTTCCCTTTTTTAAAATTTTGTCTGTAAGTGTCATCTATCTCAGGTTGCTTCAGAAATTGATAAAGTGCAGAAATACAAATAAACACAAAATATTTTTGTGGAAAAATAATTACATGTAAAAATGATACAATTCCCTAAATTTCATTAATAAGTAAAAGAGTAGCTAGTTCTAAGGGAGTTGTGTTAAAGTAAAGGTGGCCTCTCTAGTTTGAATCCACAAACCATGATTGGCAATCTCCTCCCATGCAATTTACAGCCTCCAGACTCTCTCCAGAGGGTAGTTTCTGAGAGCAGAGTTGAGTTGTTGTTGACTTTGAAATAAAAGATCTTGCTGGTCAGCACCCACTGTCTGTGTCCCAGCACCTTAGGAGTTGCATTGTCATATGTCTACAGCCTTGGCATGTGGTAAATGCATTATTTACACAGTGATTTCAGGGACACCCCCCCCCTCCTACCCATAAAAATGGAAAACAACAAAAATGAGAGCAACTGAAACGGTTTCAATATTTGTATGAGTTTCAGATGTAACCACTGGCCTGATTACAAGAATCAAGGATAATTATGGCTCTTTACACTTCCACTTTCCAAATGTCAATATTTAGAAAGTAAAATAACCAACTTGGGCTCTGTGACATCTAGGCTACTAGTTAGGAGAGGAATTGCTTTCTAGATAACATGGCTTCGTCCTCAGAATAGAATCTCACTAAACTGATATTCATTAAAGCCTCTAAAAATGCTACGCTATATAAAGGATGTTACCAAACTGCAAATACCCAAATCTTAAAGTTATACCACAGAGTTGAAGTAAACTTTTAACACCTTAGCAATTCTACTCTTGCTCTTTCACCTCTCCCACTCCACACTCAGTAATATTAACCAACAAAACCAAGCTCAATAACTCTCAGCTAAGAAGCTGCACTGCAATCCCAAGGCGTAAATTTTGAATCCACCAGCTGCTCTGTAAGAGAAGGATGGGCAATCTCCTCTCGCTGTCATTAACTGTCTCTGAAAATCCAATAGAGGGAGGGTCAGCCTATAGGTTGGTTCTGACTCAATGGCACACAACAACAAAAGATTCAAATTCTGTTGATACTTGTGTTATGGAGAACCATCCCAGGGCAGTTTCTGGACTGTGGTGTTGTACATGTTACTACTCATGTAGATACCACGGCTTTTCAGAGACTGAATTTCAAGAAGGGAAATTGTTCATTTTTCTCCTACAATTGGTGCATTACAACCACGTGGGTTGGCAGATACAAACCACAGGCCTCTGGCATCAGCAGCTCCTTAAAGCAGACCCTAACCAACCATTTCTTCCATCTCCACTGGAGGGGGGGGTGGAGGGAGGGTGTGTGTGTGTGTGTGTGTGTGTGTGTGTGTGTTTTCAAACGGCCAACTTGTTGGTTAGTCATTCAGTACAAACCCTATGTAACATCGAACCTTCTATCACATTTTTCGAATTCTAACAATATAAAATAACACATTTTCTCCTTTTTACCTCCTTCGTTTCCCTATTCCCCTTACTCTTCCTCCCTTCACTTCTCCGACTAGTTTAGTCAGTCAGTACCCTGCCTTTCAAGATTCAGCGTGTATAGGCCTCAATTTCAGAGCCTGACATGTTTTGTCCATTCTTCACTTTTGAAAGACGGGCATTATATCCTGCGCACAGATTCCCCTCCAGCACCTAGTAATTTACCTCAGTCTGTCTCAACTCAGTGAGTGTGAATAATAAGAAATAAGACTAATTAAACAAAAAAAAAGCCTCTATAATTAGAATTGCTTGCAGCAGAACCCATCATCTAGGCTGTGGGGAGGAAAAGTGAGGGATTCAGGCTATCTTGGAGAATTCTAGAACAGCGGACCCTCATTAGGCCACTATCATGAAATCCATTTCGAGCAGGGTAAAACTGCCCTCACAGAATTTCCAAACTGTAAATCTTTACAGAAGCCCCTCCTCGGATGGTCTGCGTCAATGTGCCTTTAGATTGGCAGCCTAGCGCCTTAACAATGTGCCACCAGACCTCCTCATGGAAATACAGTCAGAATTAATTTTCTTTAGAGCCTTTCCCCATATTTCGGGTCTGAGCAGGTACGGGGTTTGGTAGGACAGCTCCAGCTTCCGCAGCCATCGGTTAAATAGCCAGAGCTGCTGAGCTGTGCAGGGCTGCAGGGACAGGAGGTCGCGTCTGATTGCGGGAGTTACGGCTTTCACGCCGGCCCCGCCATCCGCCTGAAGCACGGCGCCTGCGCGTGAGCGGCCCGGGCAGGTGCTGCCGGCTGGCCTGCGCATTTGGGGCGGGGAGCGGGGACCTGGCCCCGGGGAAAGTGGGGAGCGCCGGCGCTGCGTTACCTCTCCAGGGCCTGCAGGGTGTAGCTGATGAGAGGCCTCTCCAGGACGGGGCAGAACTGCTTCGGGGTGGGGACGCCCATCCGCTCCCCACACCCGCCCGCCGGCAGCACGGCTGCCACGCTGCACCCCGGCTCGGCCCCGGCGGGGCGCAGCGAGCAGGCCGAGGTCGCCTGACAGGCGCCGCCTGGGTCGTTCAGGCAAGGCCCCGGTCCGGCCGGCCTGGAGCCTGTAGACGGCCCGGGCTCCATGGGTGAAAGCAGCGCAGTGGAGTCCTGCTCGCCGCGGACCAACGCACCCGGGGGCTGCTCCTGGCCTCGGCCCCGGCCGGCGGCGTCCGAATTTCGTACAGAAAGCGCCCTCCTGGCTGCTGCGCGTCCCACAGGGACAGTGGCGGCCGCTGGCTAAGGCTGCCGATCTTCCCTTGCTGTGCGGCAGCTGCCGGTGCAACCCCGGCCCAGCGCACCCGGGAGGGATATTTTCTCCCGCCCTTCCTTTCTCCCCGGGCAGGGCAGGCCCAGAAGTCGCCTCAGGTGGATTGTCAGCACTCTAACAATCTCAAACTATCTAAGTTCCCATAATTTAACAGCTGTGCATCTGCAGCAGAGGTCACATCCCCCCCCCCCCCCCCCCCGAAGATCCTTGGATGAGATAGGAATTAGACCCTGTAAAGAATGTACCTTTATTACCTGGCTGATTAACAACCCAGGTTTCCAGGTGGGAACCTAAGGTAAATGGTGGTCGGGCAAGTGTTACCTTGAAACAACAAAAAACCAAACTGCAAGAGTTCCCAAACTTGTTTAAACACTCAAATCACCTGAGGGGCTCCAAAAGTGCTGAGACTGTTCATCCCTCAGAGTCTAGGATTTTAATTGGTCTAATGTGTGGCCTGGGCTTTGTCTTTTAAAAAAAAAAAATAATATCCCCAGGTGATTCTAATGAACCACTGAGCCAAAATAAAAAATAATCCTGATTTCCTGGAACTATGTTGAACAATGACAAGAGCTCTGGTAGCTAGTTCTATGGTTAGTGTTTGGCTGCTTCAAACCAAAAGATTGATAGCTTTGTCCTACAAGTTAACTGAAAAGACAATGGGTTTGTTTTGGGAGAAGATTGAATAGCCATCCATTGTCTCATTTAATCTCCAGAACAACCTACTAGTAATTTTCCCATTTAACATGAGGAAATAGTGTTTAACTTGAGTATTCACAACTAATACAATAATTTTGAAATGCTAGCCAAAATCATTACTCAAGCATTTTAAGGCTATTGTATTAGCTATGAATACACAAGTTAAACCCTATTTCCTCATGTTAAATGAGAAAATTACTAGTAGGTTGTTGAAGTAATGATTTTGTAAATTACTAAGTAACATAGGAAGGACTGTAAAGCATTATGCTAAAGGAAAGAACTCAGTCCCATAAGGACAAATACTGTAAAAGGCCATTATTATAGAATGAATATGAGGATCCAGGGTGGGGGGAGGGGATAACAGAGGAGTGAGAATGAGCAGGGGGATGGAAATCACAGGGACCCACAATTTAATGGGTAGAAGTGGGGTTGGGTAAAGAAATGGGGAAGATCCAGTGTGAAACCCAATGTATATGGATTTTGTAAGTAAACTAGTAAAGAGAGAGAAACTCTGTTGGCCTACTACATAGAAAGTGATGCTACCAAACCAAAGGTAGGTGATTTTAATCTGCAGCCCTCAGGCCTGGTTTTAATTATTTTTAGTCAAACATAGCACTGGTCTGTCCATTTGTTGTACAGAGGTAACTCATGGTTGCTGTGAAGCTTAACACTGTGACACTGATGTGTCAAATGTGATAATGGTTCCCCATTGTGGACATTGGTGGACCTTCCTGATTAAAACAAGCTTGGAAGAAGGAGTGGCATCCACTTCGAAATTAGCTTGCCTCCAGAAACTCTATAAACTTGGAGAAATGATGAAAGTTATACAAGTGTTCAGGTCTTTCGTTCATAGGGTTGCTAATGAGTCATCTACGACTCGACAGTACTTAACAACCACATATATATAGCATAAAATAAGACCAGACTGGAGAAGTCCAGAAAAGAAGCATATCTTGCTCTTATTTAGTTACTGTCCTGCTTCATAGTATTTACCATTAAAATATCCTTAAGTGTTTGGAATACCAGACTCCTCTTTATTGAGTCTGTGGAATGTCAACTCCGTGAGAACAGAAACATTTCTTGTTTGTTTGGGGTTGTATGCCCTATTCCTGGAGGTTCAGTACATAGTGAATGAACTGTTGATTCAATAAATTCTTGGCAATTAAAGAGTAAAATTAAATACTTTCCTATTTTTACTTGTCAGTATTTACTTTTCAATGGTTAATATACTAGCCATAGAAAAGAAACCTCTTAAACTTTAACAATATCGTTATAAATCCCAATTTACAACTGTCCCAATTTAACATAAAAACATTCAACATTGAAATACCTATTTTCTGGTCTCAAATTGGTTTTATATTCTTGAAAATTCTCTTGGTTTAAATTTTGTTACTTTTATTAAAATAAATGTTTGCAACAATCAGAAAAGCAAGAGAAAACAAACCTTTTAATGTCCTATTTCGTCCTGGAGAGGGTGAAACCAGCCTGCCCCGCGGAGGCAAGGATTCTAAAGCTTCGTATGACATACTTGGGGCATGTTACAAGGAGAGACCAGTCCTTGGAGAAGGACATCATGCTTGGGAGGATGGAGAGACAGTACAAGAGAGGAAGACACTCGATGTGATGGATTGATTCAGTGGCTGGGGCAATGGGACTAGGTATGTCAGAGACAATAAGATTGACTCAGGATAGTACAAAGCTTGTACATGATTCATAACGAACTTGACAGCACATAACAAACAACAACAATAGGTTGAGAGTTAGTTTCTGGTAGCCTACAGGGTAAGGGTTGTGTTGCCAACCCAAGGGCAGGCAGTTCAAATCCACAAGAACTCTCCAGGAGAAAGATAGATTCAAACCATTTCCTTTGGATTGGCTATGCAATTTCTTATCTACCAGTAAGCTACCAGAGCTCCATTTCCTATATATAAGTAGATAATAAACCTATTTTATCTGTTGTAACTCCTGTCTCCAAGATCAGTTTCACCAGCAGCAGGCAAAAGAAACCTGGTTTTCTGCTAATATGTTTAACTCACAGTTGAAATTTGTCAGATCACAAAATCTTAGCTGAAAATTAGGCATCATGTTAAACTAGAATCTGTAGCATGATTATTTTACCTGACCTGTGCTATCCATGAAATTACTGTCTGTTGAATACCTGGGTGAAAGGATGAGTCTGTGAGGACAGAAAGGAAAAATCAAATTATTGTTTCTGTAAGTTTGTATATTAAAAAATATTTTTAATAAAAATATATTTTTTATCAAAAAATGGCTTATTAGCTTAATTTTTATTTCTTAGTCCTAGAATCAACACCCATGGTAACAGTGGTCATCAGAAGTAATCAGAAGATGTGCTGCATCGGAATAATCTGCTGTCAAAGGACTTTTCCAAACTGCCAAAGAGCAAGGATATCCGTTTAAAGACTAGCATGCGCCTGATTCAAGTCATGTCCTTTTCATTTGCTTCCTAGGCATCTGAAAATTGGATAATGAATAAGAACAGAATAATCGATGTCTTTGAATTGTGGTGTTGGAGAATAGTACTGAACACAAGATGGAACTACTAAAAGAACAAACAAGTCTGTCTTGGCGAAGTGAAAGCAGGGTGATTCTTAGAGGCAAGGATGGTGAAACACCTCTTCTTGGAAAGAAAACAGCATGCTGGGCAAGGTGGAGGGTTAGACAAAGAGGAGAAGGCCATCAAAGATCATGAGGACGCCTCAGGATAGGGCAAACAAAGGTCAGAGCTGCTGTTCCTAGGATCACTGAGTCACCAACTGGGTGGAACCAAACAGCAGTAACAGTCTTCACACAGAATACAGAATATAGTACATATGGTTGCTGAATTACAAATAAATTATGTATCTTTTACTGTTCTTTACTTTCACCCAAGATTCATCTGACATCAGATTGATACCACTCGACATCTTTTTCTGAATCCAGCTGGAGTTTCGAGCAGTTCCCTGTTGATGCAGACTACAGCCATTTCTAAAGGATCTTCAGGAAATTTTACTTGTGTGGGGTATTAAAGATAATTGATAATTTTCACATTCTCTTGGATCGCCTTTTTTTTTTTTTAATGAGCATAGGTACGAATCTCTTCTAGTGTGTTGCTCAGGTAGATTTCTTCAAAATTTCTTGCTTAGGCAAGTGAGGAGAGCCAGCATTTCACCATAGTACTGAAACAGCTCAACTGACAGTCTCACTTCCTCCTTCATTCAGTCCTATCAGTTCTTGATCATATGGCACAGCCTGAAATGATTGAATATTGGTCTATTTTTTTTTTTTTTTGGTGCAGTGAATCTCTGTATTCCATCTGTCTTTCTCTGATGCTTCCTACTCCATTCATTATTTTTACCATTAAAAAAAACTCTCAATACTATAGTTTGAAGTCTGAATTTTCCCCCCCTTCAAATTATAGCAACCATAGGAACATGTCTCTGCAGCAATCATTTAAAAGTACATACTCTGAAAAGTGAGAGTTTCCTGGACCTGTTAAGATCAACCATTCAAAGACAGTACCTGAAAAGCTTAGGAAAACAATAAATCTCAACTGTGTTATTTTGTGGTATTGTACAAAGCCTCCTTGTTGTTGTTATTGTTAGGTGCCACCAAGTATGACTCTTAGCAACCATATAAACAACAGCTCTGAACTCTGTCCTATCCTGTGCCATCCTCACACTTTCTGACACAATAAAGCCTATTGCATCAGTCCAATGTCAATCTACCTGGTTGAGGGTCTTCCTCTCCTTCATCAACCTTCCACCCTTCTAAACTCCTCGCAACATGCCCAAAGTATGTGAGGCAAAGCCTCAGCATTCTTGCCTCGAAAGAGCACTCTGGCTGCAACTTCTCCAAGACGTATTTGTTTGTTCTTTTGGTCGTCTGTGGGATGTTAAACACAATTCTCCAACAACCTGTCTCAAAAGCATCAATTCTTCTTCTGTAATCCTTATTCACTATCCAGCTCTCAAATTCATAACAAGTGAATGGAAAGACCATGACCTGAATCAGATGCACCTTGGTTTAAAGTTAAGAAAGGTCCCATTTACCTATGGTAAACTGATATTCAGCGAGGAAACTAAAGCTATCAAATGGGGAAACGACAACCTCTCCAACA